GACAAGTTTAAATACTTGTTCTGTCCCCGAGCTCAGTTGAGCTCGAATGCACCGAATCACATTTTAGTGAAACGGTGAGTTTTGGTGTTTGGTATGGGTCAGTCAAACTACTTTCTTTTTCTTCATACAGGTCCAATAACATAATGCAACATGTGAAGCATTATGATTTAGAAGAATTAAGATTTACAATTGAAAAAAATGATCCAATAATTATTTAATGTGACAATATATCTACCTCAATGACCAAAAATCTAATCTTTCATAGAAGAACGAAGCACATTGAATTGCGACATCAATTTATTAGAAATCTTGTGTGGACAAAATTTAGTTATAACTCATGAGCACCAAAGAGTAATTAAGAGGTATTCTTATTAAAGTAGTTTCAATAGAAAAATTTTAAGAATTATGAAAATGTGTTCAAATTATAAATTATGAGGAGATATTAAAAATAATTTTTAACATTCTCTCTCTCCTCTTTGCTCGAGCATTCTCTTTCTCCTCTAACTATTTTTGGTTCAACTAGCTCGTATAGAATTTTTGTAATTTATTTAAATTATAAATAATATATTATCATATTAAATATAAAATAAATTTAAATTTAAAATTTATAATAAGATAAAAATTAATTATACAGTAATTTTATCATATTCACGTTTTATCATTATATTTTAAATATTTAAATATATAACTATTATATATTATCAATTTAAATAGTTAGATAACTTTTATTAATATTATTACGTTAATTAGTTTCATTTTAATATATTTAAAATTTAAATAGATAATTACACATATGATTAAAAAACTTTTATTAATATTATTACATTAATTAGTTTCAGTTTAATATATTTAAACTTTATTTTTATATTTAAAATTTAAATAGATAATTACACAAATCATTAAATAATTAAATGTAAAATAATTTTAAAAATAAAAAAGTGAGATACGTTAACTCTTGATTTTACTTTTGCATTCATATACATATCTATACGCGGCTGGGTGCGATTCTAACCTGAGGTCACCTAATTTCTTGACTGAACACTGAACGGTTACCTTGTCCTCTACTTTCAAATTCCAAACAAATTGCCTTCTCTTTTCAACTTTTACTATTCCGGAGACCTAGCTTGAATAATGGCGGTATCATCATCATCATCGTCACTGCCAGTTCTCTCTCCATTGCACTTTAACATCAACAAGAACCTCGCTGCTACATATTCTTGTTCTAGCATTCCTCTCTTCAGTGTCTCCACCAAACCACACAATCGCTCTTCTGTCGTTGTCGTTTCCTCCTGCAGTTAGTCTTCAACGTTATCCGCAAAGTTTCTATTTCACTTCTCTGTTACTCCACCTTTTATTTATATAATTATGTATTTCGTTGTCTTCTGCTATCCTAATCAGGTGGTGGTTTGACGAGCAAGGACAAAAAATTGTTGGTCGAGCGATACGGTTTCGATCCTAATGAGTTCTTATCCGAAACTAAGGTTTCTCTATCACTTTGATTTTGATGGCTTTCCACGAAAATGAGAAACCAAAAAGAAAAGGAATTGCAAATTTCTTAGTTTTCTTGTTGTTTGCTTTTAGAGTTAAGCAACCTTATAGCAGCCAGGGCTGCCTTTCTTTTCTTTTTATTATTTGTCGCTCTTCCTATTTATTTTGCTGAGTATCTTTTTTAATCGATTTCTTAGACAAGGAGAAGAGGGGAAGACCAAAAGACGCGAAGAGGAAAGCAAACCGCAGAGGAGGAATCTAAGCCACCACGAACCACTCACAAGTTGCTTCAGGTTTGGATTTGCTTCAATTTTGTTTTGTTTAGTGGAAATAGAGGAAAGAGTTAATATTAAAATGAATTATAGTAGGCCCTTTTTTCTGAAAGAAAAAATGAATTATGATAGCCCATTTTGAAACAAATGAAACTTTTTTGTGGAATTCAGTTTGGAAAGTCATAAAAAAATGAGTTCATAGAAGAGAAATTGAAGAATTGAGATATTACATTTTAAATTACACCGAATTTAATAAGTTTGAAAATGTTTTATCTTGAATCTAGTTGAAATTATCTAATAACTCAATTTTTATCATTATCTAAGAAAGACCCACTGCTTGTGATTAAAATAGATGTGTATTTTTAAATAAATTCCATAAATAAAGTTCATTTGTTGCAAGCATCGCCTTACAAGTAGAAGAATTGTATTGGATTGATGTTGGTATAGTGTGATCCACACACATGGAAATTCATTGCTGGAATTTCTTTATTAGTCGCTCAAATGCCAAGGATTTTTTTGGGTTTTTTTGTTTGCTGGATATAAGTAGCTTTAAGTATGTCCAGTAATATAAAGAACAGGATGCTCATTATGCTTAAATAAATGTTTTTTCTTTTACATGTTCAGTTACTTATCTTTACCATTTATTTATTTAAAAGAATAAAGGAATACTTATTTATTAAAATAAGCGTCTTTAGGCATACATGTAGGTGTTTGTTTTTCTTAAGTAGCAACTAGGTGAGCACATGCCACTTTATGCAAATTTATTCCAGAAATATAAACACCCTCAAATATAGCAAACTCAGTGAAGGATGTGATAACGTGTTTACTGGAATATTTGCATGATGCTTTTAGGGTCCCTGCTGATAGATCTCTTTATGAGAATATTTGCAAGTTGGTTATTGCGGGTAGTTCCTGAATCGGACTAATGACATATACAATACTTGAATTATTGATGTAGAGATTACATAGTTGGTTCTCATCCCTGCTGATAGATCTCTTTATGAGAATATTTGCAAGTTGGTTATTGCGGGTAGTTCCTGAATTGGACTAATGACATATACAATACTTGAATTATCGATGTAAATATTACATAGTTGGTTCTCATCCTTCAGAGATTACGAATATAATAGGAGCATCTGTCGACAAAAAGATCACCCGAATATGATCATCTCATGGCTATTGAGAACGAATCAAATTAGATGGTTTTATTTGTCAATCTTCCTGACTTGTCATATAGAATGAAGGTCGAAAAGATTGAGAAAAATCTGTCATTCACAACCACTGGTAAAAGATTCATCGAAAAGTTAAGGATTAGTAATCTGTTTCAAAAATTGAGCGGATTCAATCTTATACATATGTGAAGAAGGTAATAAAAAAAGAAAAAAAGATCAGTTCTTCTTTATTTTTATCACTTAGGAGCTGTGCGAGATGAAAGACTCATACACGGTTTTGAATGAGAGAGAAGTGAGATCGTTAAAATATATAATACATTGTTTCACAGGGGACCATCCTTCTAGTTGGACTCAATGGATATCTTGGGCTGAATTTGCCTACAATACAGGCTTTCATTCTGCATTGAAGACTACACTCTTCGAGGTAGTCTATGGGCGACCAGCTCCCTGCTTTAGCTCTTGCTATCATGGGTTATCTAGATTGAAAGTTGTGGATTGTGAATTGCAGACTCGTAATCAACTGTTACGGGGGTTGAGGCACAGGTTGTTGCAAGCTCAACAATGCATAAAACAGTTTTATAATGCTCATCATTGAGAGGTCACCTTTAATGTCAATTGTTTTTATATTTCATCTTTTCGAAAATGTGGATATCGATGAAGCCTCATCATAATTGGAGTTTTGTCTAGCAACAAAGTAATATGATGATCACATGCATAGGAAGGTGGTAATGCTATGGGTTTCTAAAAAGCTTATCAAATTCCAAAAATAACTGTTAAAATGCTACATTCCGATCATGTGGTAATAAAATAGAAGAAAGTATTCTTGTATTATATATTTTTTTTAAAATAAAAAGTGTGAGAAGTATATTGCTATAGGCACCGAGGGAGTGTCGCTCATATACAAAAATTTATAAGTAAACTAAAATATAAAAAAGGATCGCTATATTCTCCATAAAATAAAGAGAATGGCACCGTAACAAAAAATTAAGAGTTTGGAACCATATATTATTAAGGATATCAAAATCATCAACATCCTCAATCCCATCAAAAACCCTCTTATTTCTCTCCTTATGCACCATCTGAAATATAGTTAACGAAATAATCTCCACTTGTTTCTTACGACGACTAGTACTCCTCCAGGCCCAAAATTTGTCCATCACCGACATCACCATGACCCAGTTGATTTGAAGCAGCCCATAAACCATAATCCATAAGTTATAAACCATAGGACACTACAGCAAAAGAAGATTACGAGGTTCCTCTGTCTTCTTACAAAGATAACAAGTATTGACCAAAGTCTTTTCCATTTTCCTCATATTACCAATAGTCAGACAGCATTCTTAACTAGCCTCCCAATCAAAAAAATGAAATTGGGGGGGGGGGGAGGGGGGGACTCTGGTCTTCCACAACTACATGAAAAGGAAAATACTTCCATTTTTTTCATATTTAAATAGTTTCTTGTAAAAAAAAATTTAACTATGAAGGACCCATTCATTATAAGGCACCACTGTGGAATGTCATTACTACCATCTAGCGTGGTAAGATAGAATACGCAATCCACCTCTTACTCTCTAATCTCCCGGTTGTTGAGATTTCTTAATACTAGCACTTGCCACTCTTTCACTCCACCTCGATTCTCGACTAAAAAGTCACAAATTTTGATATCTTTCTGCTGAACAATTGCATAGATCTAAAGAAATTGAACTCTAAGGGTGCCTCCTTCCACCTATTAATCTTCCGATAATCTGATGTGTTCCTGTACCATTCTACCTGATATTCTCTTGAAAATTCTCGCACTCTAGGCCAATATTCTTCCATAAACTCTTCCCATGAGGTCTTCAACTCAATTTTGTAAACACCCATTGTCATCCATACCATATTTAGCTGATATAGTTCTTCTCATAATGCATCTTCCTCCATAATGAATCTTCATAACCACTATCCCTGCAAAGTCTCATTCATCTCCACCAAAGAATGCATAACCAAACCACCAAATGATACCCCATGCTATCATCCGTGTCCCCAAAGGAATCTGCTCTAGATGACTTTCAATTTCTTAGCCACATCTCTCGGAATGGTCATCAAGGATATGTAGTAAATAGATAGATTGCTCAATGTGCTCTTTTTGAGTGTAAGTCTATCTCCTTTAGATGAAAGAGTTTTCTTCAATTCTAACAACTTCTCATATTTGTTTACCACCGGTTACCCTCTTTGGATTTAGTGCCAAGAGGTAATCTCAAATATGTGATAGGTAAGTTAACAAGTCTACACCCCAAAGCCCTCGCTAGTCCCTCCGGATCCCCTTCCGATCCTAGTCTCACCATTTTTTACTTGGCAAGATTGATGCTGAGCCTTGAAAGTGCTTGGAAACCCATCAAGATTCATCTAATATTCAACAAAGCTCTCCTCTCAGGTTCATAGAAAAGCACAACGTTATCTGCGAAAAACAAGTGAGTTATCTCTGCAGCTAGAAGCAGTCTGGTATTATATATTTCAATGCCCATTTAAAATTACCTTCTAACCATTTATTATGAAGTCCATGGTCATTGTCTGAAAATCCCATGTAATAGGACCTAAAATACACAGCCAATTAACTCCTAAACAAACTTGAAAGTCATTAGTAAATCAAATAAATCAGGAGAAGAGTAGCATCACCCATTTCCAAGGATTGTCCTCGAAAGCGTCCTGAAGATTGTATCTTTTCATCATTAGCCATCAAAATATTAAATTTGCAAGTTGGACATTAAGGTTCTTTTATTTTGAGGGTAACCCATAATCAAAAAAATCATGTTTATTGTCGGAATCAATTAACATCGCAATGAGTTTACCTTATGTTATGAACGCATTTATAGGGCATAAATATGGAAGACAAGATAATGACTAAATAGGAGGTGAAGTTCAATTAAATATGGAATCTTAATTAGTATTAAATTTTTAAATAATTGAAATTCTAATTAGTATTAGATTAATAAATAATATACAATTTTATATTAGTATTGGATTCCTAAATTAGATTTATATTTTAGTAGAATATTTCTAATTAAATTTAGATTTTTAATTATATTTAGATTTCTAGTTATGTTAAGATTTCTAAATAAGAATTATAATCTTTATATAAAGAGTTATGTTTGTTATTAATAAAAATAAGTTAGAATATTATTTTAAACTATAAGATTGGAGATCTTTTTAACGAGATCCAAGTAACAACTTCTTTTAATGAGTTGTGCAATAAGAATAAGAGTGTTAACCTTTTGTTAGAAGACGACTTTGTTGTTAACTACCCAGTGACAAGATCTCGATCTTGCAATCATAATAAATTGGTCTCAGAGCAAAAAACCATGAGCAAACAAGGATTGCGTGAGGAATTGAAAATTTTGATTGCTGAATCAGAGGTCCGAATGGATGCTAAGCTGCGGCAACTATCTCAGTAGATGGAGACTCTTCTTTAGATAGC